TATTCATATTCCATAAATATTCAAATCATAATAAATGAACTCCAATCATTTCTATAAATATCTCAATTAATTGGGTTGCAAAGGTTGTACAAATGCATAAGGCTGTAAAAGAAATATACCCTATATATATATATATATATTAATAGAGATATACACACATATCGGGTCAGACCGGGACAGACCAATGATCACCATCCGCCATAAAATCTTCGAATATGTCCACGATCCACTCCCCATCTCCTATAAGAAATCTCCAAACCTGACCCGAAAATTTTGGTGTTCGATTATCACCATTGATTTCAAGGGTTTTTTGACATCCCTAACTATCCGGAAAAAAAAAAAAAAAACTTGGTTTTGATAATACTACAATGAATGTCAGAATATGTAAAATGGAGAAATTGTCGAAACTTAAAAGTGATTTTTATTTCAGCATTTTCTAACGTTTATTTTCTTTATTTTGTTTTATAGAAACTCTAAAAATATAAACCGGAGTTTCTCTAGCGAACAAAGAGCGAGGAATTACGTATTTATCAAAATATTAATTTGCACGGCCATTTACTCGAATACTTATCCAAGAAATACTTATCGATAAGAGTTAACATTTTTACTTCACCAAAGTAAGATTGTAGTTCATTAAAACGATATCCGTCTAAAAGTTTCTATCGTCGATCTATCGCTAATACCTATCCGTCGCTGATTTCGCCACTGATTGCATCACCAACGACCTTTTGACCCACGGACTATCAACGACCGATCCAAGCATTAGCTACAGATGAGCGACGGCTTGGTCTGTCGGTAATATTGCTTAGTTTTGTAGTGTACCATGTAAGCGCTTACTAGGTAAGAATCATCATCCTCACTTATCAGATAAGACTCTTCATTCTTTTTCACTACTTTATTGTATAAGGTTTTTGATAAATTAATGACCCAATAAATGCATACTAAACTAAACAGAATGAGATATTTAAAAATGTGCATTATTAATAGGTAATGGGCAGTTTTTTTTAAACAAACTTTATAATATTGACTTGCTAAAATAAATTCAAATAAAAAGAAAAAGAAAACAATCCCTTGAAATGCATGCATATCCGTAACATATGATTTGAAAATCATAACTCACATTTTTTAAGTTAATTTCTAATTACCAACTCCACTACATTTGATACATCAATGTCCATATTTAGCCTTGTAATCCTGCCATAGTTGGTCAACGGGTTTTCCCGTCAAGTCTTCAAAATACTTAACGTCATAAGTAACCCTCATCAACTTATTAAGTTTCGCCACAAAGGCCGGGGTGATCCCGTCACAATACTCAAGAAACCGGGCTGTCACAGCATACCCTTTGTCCCACCTATCCCCATCCCCCGGATTTGCAAACCCCCATTGCGTGTGGTTTGCTCTTAGAACCGTATAGTCCGCGATCCCTTCTATCAACCCTGAAGGCGTCGTACCTTCACCATTCCATTGAAACACATGGGTCATCTCATGCAACATAAGCGACGTGAATTGCCATTTCAAGTCCCCCACTAGCCCATTTATATAACTCGAACTAACATTGATATTGTTATTGCCCCACGCGATCCCCGCGGCTTCATCGAACTCTACGATGTACGTGTTGACGGAATCTACTTGCTTTTGGTCGGAGGGGTCGTTTTGTTGGAAGATCGCAGACCATATGTAGTTGTTAATGGTGCCCATTATTTGCTTCGTGAAGGGATTTCCGATCTTATTGTTGAAACGGATGCCGCCTGGAGTGGCGGCAGCGACGTTGATCACTCGGTACTCGAGGGCCGCGATTCCATGGAACGATAAGGAGAAGGTTAGGAAGGTATATACGAAGAACGAGTGGGGAGCCATTGATCATCTATCGATTCGATCAAGGTGCTTGCAGTGAAAGGATGGATCTGTGTGTATATATATTATGTGGATGCATACAGATGTCCATAATTATGTATATTCAGTTCCATTTCAGTCGTCTGAATGTGTGTGTATATATATGTTAATGTTGAGCTATAATTGCTTAGCGATTTATGAGGCATTAATTTTTGACTTAATTAATGGTAATACGTTACTTCTTGTTTTTATTTTATCGTTTTATTGGAATTTTAGAATGTTTTAAATTGATTTTTTTAAACGGAGAAAATGCAGATTTTGGGGCTAATTTTTGCTTGAAAATATTTTTCATAACACGTAAATTAATAGATGAAAGATGGTAAAATTCTACAAATTAATTTGAAAATTCAAGACATTATAACAAAATTAGGTTTATAGAACATTCCCGATCTCTAAGTGTCCCAATAGACCGTTTTATAGGACTTAATTTATATGACCAAAATATAAAACATTATAATAAGTTTATATGACGCTTTTGTACGTTTTAACAAGTTTTTGAGGACATTTTTAATACAAAGTGTCGTATTAGCAACTTTATAGGACATTTTTGAGAAATTGTCGTATAAAATCAATTTTTTATAGGACAATTTTTAAAATAGTGTCCTATAAAGTTGATAATGGGACGTTTTATATTAAAACTGTCCTAAAAAACTTATTACGACATCAAAAGTCATATAAACTTATTCTGACCAATAAGAATTTTTGAAATTGAAATTTACGTAAAAAGTTGTGGTGAAGAACTTGCAGGAAGGTGACAATAACGACATGAGAAGATTAGGGGCGGACCTATCAAGAATCGAGCGAGATCTTAACGACCTGCTCACTCGTTTTGTTGTAAGAGAAAAAGTTGGCGTCTGAAGGTGCACCTGCTCACTCGTTTTGTACCCAAATTTATAAATAGATATCAAATATGAGGGAGATTGTTTAGATGCTTAGATTAAATCGAGAGACAATAGGTTGCAAGTACAATTCCTACATCTAGCAACTATATATTTAGTTTTTGATTTTTAAATTTCGCACCTCAAGCCCGTCTGCCCGTGTGTCCTACAAGAATGTTTGTTTTAATAATTTGACTTTGTATCTAGGCCCTTAGGCATATACTAGTCCTTACCGAATCTCGGAGCTTTCCCCCTATCACTTAATTGACATCTTAACGTCCCTTTTTTTTACACTCTAAAATAATTTTTCAATTCCTTTTTCCGTATATCTTATCCCTATCAGTGTGTTCTAGGCACAATAATTTACATAATTCTTATTACATTACTTTTTAGACCTACCATGCTAGAGTCCATATTTTGCTCTAAAAGCTACAAGATTTCATCTGAATTTACGGATAGCAACTCAAGGTGGTAAATCATTATTTATTTCTTAGCATTCTCTATCAAATAGTTTCTTACCATATTGTTTGAGTTTTTTTTTTTTTCGAACTCAGTCTGATGTCTATCCTTACAACTCGTAATTTGATCAATTCTTATATTTCTTTGCCTGGACGATAATGAATCTCACCATCATAATTATTCAATAAAGCTAAACAATATCTCTAGCCAAAGTTTCCCATTTATAATTAAACATGGGTTTGTAATTATTGTGATAGATGTATAAAATAAACTTTGAGTCATGGTGATAATATTCATGAAACTTAGGTACAATTACCATGCTGCTAACTCCCAATCATCTGTCAGATTAACATTCTCATTTCATACAGTTGACTTAACGTGTAAGCAACAAACTTGCCTCGTTGCATCAATACTAAGTCTAATTCGAACTTCAAGTTATCACTGAAAACCATAATGTCTTCCAGTACTTTGACAACCATAAAAAAAATTCCTAACTTTACATTTGCTTTCAGTAACTGAATTACTTATTCCTTCTAACCTCAATCCAACTCGCTGTGTTGTCTAGGTGAATGCTGACATTAAAATATGCAACTTACGGAACTCTTAATGAATCCTCGACAATAGTTTAGTAACTCAAATAAACACCTATCCTAGTTACTAATCTTGGTTGCTTTAAATCTGACATGACCTCTAAGCTTGTTGGCTTTTACTTAGATGTTCTTCTTGTCAACTATGTGACCAAGAAAACTGAAACTTTGCTCTACAATTCACTAAGTTTTCTTTTTCTTATAGATTATCTTCTTCAACGGTTGCGGGATCAATTTTTGTTATTATACATGCTTAGACTTATTTATCAAATAAGTGAGTCCACTACCACTAACAACTATAACGACTTCTTTAAGCATGGTCCACACAATATGCTCACTAGGTCCATAACGTTATTGTCGTGTTTCTCAACCCATATGGCGTTACTAAAAGCCCATGATTTTAAATTAAAGTTATATGGACAAATGTTACTTCAAAATATGTAACATTTAAGTTGATCTGAAATAATAAATCTATTGTCTAAAAAAAACTCTGAGAAATTTGTATTTAAACAATATACAAGCCTATATACTTTCGAGATCTTAACTCTCTTGGTGTAGTGTAGGGGGTCATCTATCTATCTGTGCCGTCCATATACATTGACAATAGAATGTGCAAGTTACTTAACTAAACTGAATATTCATGTGTACAGAGGGACCCTCGCAGTACATGCACCATTTATGAGTTTTTACAATGCCTTACCTAAATTTAACATGCATATCTGAAAGCTAACAAATGTCAACTACAAATAGATATATAAAACAACTCAGGTTCTTACTAGAACTACGGGTGCTATTAAAGTCGGATTTTCCTTGATGTTTCTAAATCTGAACACTTATATGTCTAACCTTCGAGCCTAATCCTATACTATTGTTCTTACATACTCTCAACATGTTTACTTCTGAGTACCTTACTTGCGTTTTTAATACTAATCATCTCTAAGAGAAAGAAATTAGATCAATTTTAACTACATTTAAACTTACTGCATTGTAGTGCAATGTCATATTGTACTTACGTTTTGTAATGTTGCATCTAACATATGTTATGTTAATACTGATCTTTGTGATACTGATATTGATTCATATCTAAACCCAAGACATCATTCTTACAACTAACAGTTCAAGCTTAGGATATAGATCATAACTCATTTCCCTTGAACTACTGCTCTGATACCACTTGTAACACCCATATTTTTACCATGAGAAATGTTACGTAATCTAAAACGGATTCTCCAAAAGCACTCCAAAAATAATGGTTAAATTAAAATTTTAGACCGTTTACAGCGGAAGACTTTAAAAGAATAAATATATAATTTAATGTCAGTCCGTCCTATACCGGGTTGCTTTACAAACTTTTCTATCATAGATGATTGCACCTAAATATTGAATTTAAATGGACTAGATAAGTCTCTATGTGTGCCCTTCTTTTTCTTTGTCCAACCTGAAACCTTTTGTCCCTGAGATGCATACTATAGTCAGCTTATAAGCTCAGTGAGTTCATGGTTTGCGTGAGTAAAGATCATTTCACACCATACATATCAACTTGTAAACTTTGTACCAAATAGTATGCATTTTCTGAAAAATATGCAACACCGAAAGAAAAGAGATCTCATAATTTGTCTGTCAGGTATGAGTCATTTAGTCACTGACATTCCCTGAGTTGTCCGACCTGCCTGTCTAGACACTCATTATGGGGTTGTGCCACTTGTCATGTGACTTCTTGGTCAA